TGTTAAACGTACCATTCCTTTACAGAAAACATCGGATGATAATTCAATACACTTTCGCGATAAAAATATCATAATGGCATTTAATTTATGTTACACATAAAAACCAATGGACTATTAAACGTCTGTAAATAATATTCTGTTTTATAATAAAAGCATATCTTACTGTTAAAAAAACCATTTGATCCGCCACTCACTGCACATTAATGCGTCAAATTTTCCATGACGACGTCATGTCGACAAGTGCATTGCGATCAGTGACTTGATTATATTTTCTGTATGAGATTAAACTAGCGGCAAAAATACATGCAGAGGTAGGTTTTTAAGTAGTTTAATATTATTATACACTTCAACTCGCAAATTATTTCATTTTATGATATTAGAAAGATCTGATATTTTTGCATGATGTCACAGTAAGCATTTCCCGTATAAATTAGGCCACGCCTCCTTTATATAGCCTTGACAGTGCTGCACGCGACGGTCTTTAAAGTTATGAGGAGGTATTTACCTGAAATGACTTCAACCTTATATATAGGAGTCATGGCACGTACATCTGTATAGTCCAAGAATATCTCCAAACTCTCTATGATAAAAGTCTTTAATACCATAAACCTTTTTTTCAGGCAAAACTTTATATCAATGTATCATAGTTACCATCGTAACATATCCTAAAACTAAAAAGTAGCATTTTTGAACATGCCCAGGGTCCCTTTATTAATGTTTGCATTAATGCATAAAAGTGACAATAATTGTTTCCAAAATTTTTTGACTTTTTGAATTCATAGATTAAAACAATTAGGTGAGTTAGATAATGTGTAACAAAACTGATTAACTGTAATTAAATTCCCAAAGCAGTAAGAAATTTCCTAAAGCCACTGGTATGTTGTTTCCATAATTGCACTGCACTGTGGCAATAAATCCCTACTTTTAATGCTATTATCTATGTCCTAAAAAATTTTAAATCTTGATTTTCCCTATCTTTCCTTAAGATAACAGTTTTAATCAATCTTAGCAGCAAATTTTGTATGATTACACTCTGTTTACATGGCAACCATGAACGTTTATTTTTAGATATTTTTTCTATATCCTTTTTACAGAGAGTCAAATAGTTTTATTGTTTTCCTTGTGTTTGTTTTTGCGTTTGATCATTTAACAACTATAATTAGAAAATAATTGTCTTATTTGAGCATTCAACTGTATGCCAAATGTATCCATGGTTACCACTTACTTAGATATACATTCTTATTAATTTCCTTATGGCATAAGTGGCAACAAGATGGACCGTTATTATGCCAGTGGTTAATATTTTGGTTTTCTTAGTCTTTATTAAATTAAAAGTGTCTGAAAATCTCAAATTTTCCATAGCAACCAAGGCATATATCAACCCAACTTTGCTTGGTATACTTATGGTGTCTAGCTTTAGCAATGAGGAAAGTTTCATCAAAATCGGTGTCCATTTCTGCCAAAACGTTTAAGTGGTAACAGAGAATTGCTGTATAACAATTTAATTTATGAACTCACCTTCCCTGTGATGTTTTTAAATCGACTTGACTTTAACAAGCTTGGACTTTATTACATCTAAAAGGAAGAAACCTGTTGATTTATATATATTGGAATCTGGAGTCAAAGCAATACATTAGGTTTGTCGCAATGATTAACGATAACTTGATTAAATGGAACTGGTCTCTCATTCACGCCACCGTGCCGACAATCACAGTCGTTTTGTTATACCTTTGTTTCGGTTTCATGGGAAATGCAGTCCTTCTAATGGTCTACATAAAGAAGAAAATACCTGGGAAAGGCCGCTATTTTATCCCAATTCTGGCCTCCGTAGATTTATTGGCTAGTACCTTATGTGCACTTTGTGTTGTATTGAACTTTTATTTTCTGATACTTTTCTATTCTGATTTGTTGTGCAAGTTTTATATTTTAGCATCTTCTGGATTCTAAGTAGTTCTGTTTTTTTGGTTCTGGCGATTTCATTTGACAGACATCGTAAAACCTGTCAGATAAGAAAGAAACAGTTGACAGACAGACAGAAGAGGATGTTGATTATTTTGATAGTAATATCGTCCGCCCTATTAAATTTGCCGACGTTTGCAACCTGTGGAAGTCAAACAGTGCCAATGACAATTGAAAACGAAACACTTCAAGGAGCTTTCTGTGCCATGGCAACTAAAAGATATCCAAATATTGAACTCTTTTACTCCATTGCTGTAGGATTGGCTATCCTAGGAACTTTTACGTGTGCTATGGTCCTAAACGTAAAGATTGCCTTTGTCATCCGCACAAGACTCCGAAAAGTTACAGCTCCTTTCGTAGAAAATACTATACAGAAACCAGAAGACATTTTGGAGAACTTGATGCAGAGAAAACTATAAAGTAAAAACAGTCACAAGTAAAGAGGAACATGATGATAAGCACGCTTCACAACTGAATAACTCATCTGGTTCTTCGAGCAAAGCGTCTATAAATCTATATACGTGCGAATTTCATTCCAATATAACAAACAAGAAACACCAAGATTCATCAAAATCTCGAAAGGGAAATGAAACACTCTTACGAACCATTTCTATTGGAACAATACTCAGAAAATCTCGATTTTCTACTCACATGATGTTTTTAATAATGTTTGTGATATTGCTTATATAGTATCTACCCCCTCTTACGATTGTGCTTATACTGTATAACAGTCCTCAAAACTTTCAATGGTTGACGAAGCAAAATCAATTCAAACTTAATTTGTACTTTCTTCTCAGGAAATCATTTTTCTTGATTCATGATGCGAATCCTTATATTAATTGTCTTTCTGATAGAGCATTTCGAAATATTCTGATATATTCATTAAAATGTATTTAATGTACAGAGGTTACACATGAGGTAATTGAAGAGTGAAAGTAAACAGCTAACGTAAAGAACAAGGTTTCAATATAAATTTTGCCCTGTATTTTTCTTAAATATGAGAGAGATGTAAGCAAATAAAACTCGTTATTTGTGCTATACGAATCATTTTATTGTTTATATATTATACATCCGGTCGATCCATATATATAACTGCAAAAAATATATGTTTTACCTTGATAAGATAATCCATATACATATTTTACTTTAAGATGTATTGTACAATTGTATTATTTAATCCTACCTTAGATGAATGGGTACAAATTGGATTCATTCGTAAGTACATTTTTGTTTTCTCTAAAAAATATGAAAGATATTTCAAACAAATCGGTTGTTTTTCTTGCCAATTTTAAGAATGATGAGCAGTGGTTCAAATCTAATGGAGCTGGACTACAAGACAAAGTCAATAATAAATTCACCTCAGTGAGTGAGCCTTTAAGCAAAATCTAAAGAACACACCAAAGCCTGATTTAATCAAGAGAAATATATTAATCTTATTTCATTTACAAAATTACTTTGTTAAAAAGCACTCTGATTGTACACACAAGTACCCTGAAGTTGATATTAAATAGATGCTTGAGTTTTTGATTGACAATATGTATGTAGTTTTTGGAGATCAGGTCTTCCAACAATCTGTTGGAATTTCCATGGGTACCAATTGCGCCCCCTCATTAGCAGACCTATTTTTGTAATGATATGAAGAAAAATTTATTCAAAAGCTTCTACATGAGAAGAAGAAAACACTTGCTGTGGCCTTCAACTCGACCTTTCGATTATCGACGACGTATTATCAATTAACAGTAGTTACTTTTATTCACGTGTCGACTCGATATATCCCAGTGAGCTTGAAATAAAAGATACCACAGATTCTGACATATCTGTTTCATATTAGGATATTTTACTAGAAAAAGACGTTAATGGTAACGTAACAACAAAGCTTTATAATAAACGTGATGACTTCAACTTTTCATTCGTCATATTCCCTTATTTATTTAGCAATATACCCTTATCAACTGCATATGGGGTTTATGTCTCTCAGTTGATTCGATACGCAAGAACATGCTCTACGTGTGAACAATTTCTAAAACGAGGCAAGCTATTGACAAACAAGTTGAGGAAACAAGATATCAACAGCCTCGTTTGACGTCTTCTTTTCGCAAGTTATTCGGTCTATACAATGACCTTGTCAGCACATACAACCTATCATTGAGTCAAATGCTGACTGACGTTTTTCATACTTATTGTTAGGCCATTATTTATACACTGAACTGTCTACGGATTTTTCCGGTTTTTGTTTCCCGATCATGACAAGGAGCACACGGCGGGTGTGACCGGTCGGCAGGGGATGCTCACTCCTCCATGGCACCTGGTCCCACCTCTAAATTTTGAGGTCCGTGTTTGCTCTGCTCCAAATTTGTATCGTTTCGCTGGACTTTCGAGATTGAATACTGTTCGTTATCTTCATATTTCATTTCAATAAAATATGATGTTTGAAATAATCAAGACCTTAACTTCATAAATAAAAAAATAATCATGTTTAAAACGTGAAATGCACGATCACCTGTTATAGGTCAAAATGAAAAATAAATGCAACAACTGCGGAATTCAAAGAGATGGAATGCAGAAATGTAGAAAATGCCTCTTGGTGTACTACTACAGCAGAAAGTGTCAGAAAAAGGACTAGAAAACGAATCACAAAACTAAATGTGAAAAGACGAAAAATGCCAGAGAAACAGTAATAAGTGATGAACCCAATGTATCCCATTTCCTTAGTTTCGTTTGTATGTTGTTTAACGTCCCTCTCGAGAATTTTTCACTCATATGGAGACGCCACCACTTGCCGGTGGAGAGCTGCAAATTTTGTCTTATACTCGGCACTTACGGCCATTGAGCAGTGAGGGATCTTTTTCGTACCAGCACCTCATGCGACACGGGACCTCGGTTTATACGGTATCATCCGAAGGACCGATCTTCACGTCCCACAGTGGAATTCCAACTAGCGACGTAAGGATCAACTCCTTACTCCGCGACTCTTGAGCAGACGCTCTAACCACTGCGCCACGCGGGCGACCTATTTTCTTAGTAAACAGCTATCCAGCGATTCCCCTGACAATGCTTCCTACGAATCTTGTGTGTTTTGTCTAACAGTAGGATAAGTCAAGAAGTGCGAACGTTGCCTGGCTGTCAGTTATTGCTCAAACTCATGTCAAATGCAACACTGGCCCGATCATAAGACCGTTTGCGAAAAGAATAAGGACGTGGTTGATGTGAAAAAGACTGATGGATATAAGGAACAGCTGAAAAAATCAAAATCAGACAGAATCCGTTCTCAGGCAAACCAAGGCCGTAATAGCTTTACAGGTTTTGATAATGGACACCACATTATGTTTGGATCGTCAGCAATATTCAGAACAGATTTTGCCGATTTTTCTTTGCGAAAGTCGACAACAAAAGACCTAAGAAAACAGGCAAAACTTTACGTGGAACGGAAGTTCCCCCAGCAGTATATTATTGAGGATATTGAAGAAATACCCCCTGACTTTCCCTTGAGTTTTGGTAATGCAAGAGTGTCCTTCGTGGGATTTATTTCTAGGTATCACCACTATAGAGGGCGCCATTGTGTGTATATTCAAGTAAGTACGATTATTCTGTAAAAGAATATGCATGAGAAAAATGAAAAATTAATCATTTCAATTAAATTAACATTAAAAAATACCCACGATGGAAAAAAAAAATTAACAACCAACAAAGTTAATCAGTAATATTTCTTTATTTTATGATGGAAATAATGCTGAAATATATGTGGGGTTTTACCTTGATTACGATAATCCATATTCATATTTTACTTGGGGAGATGTGCGTCCAGGCAAGTTCATCTGCCTCCATGATCCCAAAATTCATTTCTTTCTAGACGGATCTGTCGGAATCCGTGTCAACGAAAGTAGCAAAGTCTTCATTTTTGACATCTGAATTCATTGACTCTTTGATTCGAATGTGGGTATGATTTATAACAAACATACTTGTGTACATGTCTTTTGCTAGCTGGTTGTGATGTTTCCGAAAACAGTTATCAAAGTTGGATTTTCGTGATAAGTTTTCTACATCTTTATGTAGATATTTTACTCTTTTCAATACTGATAAATCTATTGATGATGGGGAAAAATCGATTAAGGAATATAGATAATAATATTTCACTTAACTTAATGTGATATGCATAAGTCATTTACCTCCTATCATAAAACCATCTATATTTTCCGTCTTAATTGCATGAAATGTAGTATATGTGTATGATTTTAAAATACATAATAAGTATTTTCAGAAGTCATAATCATAAGTGTGCAATAACAATGTTTATTATATGAATGAATAATTCCTTTCTCTCTCATTGGCTGAGATCCAACAATTACTATACTACGTTATATTTACCTGCACGTGACCTTCAAGGTGAATATTATAAGGATTTATTTTCTCCACATTAGACTAAAAATAGATTGGGAAATACCACATTGATGCAAATAGTTCTGGAAAGTTATTTCGCTTGCACCTGACTTCCACGCATATGAACATAACATTAAGGCACATAAATTCTTGGGTGAGGGGTGGGTGTGGGGATGGGGGTTGCAGGAGGTCTAGATCTGCCCCCTCCGCATCTTTTTTGAGAATGTTAAGTTTTAATTTAAATTTTAAGGATAAAATTTTTTAATTAAAGCCCTTCCCCTCATTTATGGACCTTTATATCCCAACCAATAAAATTTTGAGTTTGGAAAATTATTTTCCTTTTGGGGGGGGGGGGGAGGGGGTAGTCAAAGGTTTGTTTTCAGTAAGTTGTCAATTTTTTTCCTTATTATGCACCCTTTCTCAAAATCGAAACTATATATGTGCCTGACATTTATTTTTTTTTCTATTGCACCTACACTAGAATTAAAAATTCCAAAATAATCATCTGGTTATGTATTTTAACACTGTTTCTCTCATTATGTTTGGCTAGTACTTCAGTAAATGTGAATAAGTAAGATGGCATGGCTTGCTTGACGAGTGTGTGTGATTTAATCATTGAATCATATAATAAAACAATTCTACTTCATCACTGTCAAGGTCATTCCAGAACCACATGAGATAGCGCTAGCTTATCTGGCCTCAGTGTGCTGCTATCTTAGCTTCAGTGTGGGTGTGTTATTGAGTGTTGGATTAACGTAACAAAGTGAACTTGGATTTATTCTCAAATTATTATCTATTTAACATGGCTACTGGCCATGATATGTCTTCTGAAGATGCCCTACTGGGGCTTAATGATTCTTCAGAATCTACAAATACTAGTACTGCTAGTATTTTTGGAGCACTGGACAAACTACAGTCAACTTTGAACTGTGTCAGTGCAGGAATCAACAAAATAGGTGATGCATTTGCTGTTTGAGCAGCAGCATCACGAGAACCTCCTAAATCTGAGAAACGAAAACATGTAGAAACAGAGGAGGGGAGTGATGAAAAAAGTCAGGACGATGACTATGATGATGAAGACGATATTAAAAGTTTATTGAATGCATCAAGTGATAAGGGTAAGAATGCTTCCAAAAAGGAAGATGACCCAGGTAATTCAGTGTTAGATGACATTGAATTATCCATTGATGATGACGAGGATATTGGAGAGAAACTTGCGGCAATAACAAACAAAACTTTCTCGAAACAACTAGCATTTGACACTGTCAAGAACAAGAAGTCATCACACAAACGGCCTAAAAACTGTGACAAAGTCTATGTACCACGGCTTAATAAAGAAATTTGGAAGCAAATGCAAAAACAACCATTTACAAAGAAAAGAGAACTTACGACTAATGAATGTACAAAGTGTCGTAACAAAGGCTACATTTGCAATTTTGCGAGTAGCTGATGGTTTACTCAAAAACAAAAACAATGACAACAATTATGACAATGAACTACGAAAGTGCATGGATGCAGTGTTTATATTAGGACATGCAAATACTTGTGTAAGTATGCAAAGAAGAGAACTTCTTAAACCAGTCCTACGAAATGAATATTCTACACTGTGTGATGGGAATATCCCTGTTACGTCTCTCCTATTTGGAGATGATTTAGCAAAATCACTCAAAGAAGCAAGACAAGTTGGTAATGTTGGAAGAAATTTTCAGCCAAAAAACGGGAAACGATTCTGGAATCGTCCGAGAAAAGACTTTGGTTGAAAGAACCATGCAAACGAAGATGTGAGAAATCAGAAGAAATTCAAGAAAGCATAATAGAAAAACAAAGCCAACCATCGATTGAGGTAAGCTTAGAAATCAAGCATGATTTGCATGAGAATATTACTGAATTTGAAAAACAATTTTGTGATTTTTTTTCAAGATGCAATTGCAGAGGCTCAGAGAAATATTAAATATTTTGAAGGTGGTAGAATAAAGCATTTTTTAAATCAATGGAAAGAAATAACATCTGACAAAGAGATTTTAAGAATTGTCAATGGCATAGAACTAGAATTTAAATCGGGTCAGATACCAATACAAACCAAAATTCCTAAACAATGTCAATTTAAAGATGAGGAGAAAACAGCTATTGACACTGAAATGAATAAACTAGTAGCAAAAAAGATTGTAATTGAAAGTGAATATGAGCAGGATCAATTCATTTCGCCAATTTTTCTTAGACCTAAAAAGAATGGCACATTCAGACTTATTTGTAATCTGAAAGAATTGAATGAATATATAGTGTACGGGCATTTTAAGAGGGAATCTTTGCAATCAGCATTACGCATGATTACAAAAGATTGTTATATGGCTTCTATTGATTTGAAGGATGCATATTACTGTATACCAATATCTGAAAAACATCAGAAATATATGAAGTTTATGTGGGATTCAAAATTATACATGTTTAATGCTTGTCCTATGGAGTTATGTATGAGTCCTCGTTTATTTACGAAAGTGCTTAAACCAATTTTTTCTTCTTTGAGGCAAAGTGGACATCAATCTGTTGTTTATATTGATGATACTTATTTACAAGGAGAAACTGTGGATATTTGTAACAAAAATGTAATGGCTACAATTGAAATGTTGTCAAAGTTTGGATTTGTTATAAACCCAGATAAATCAGTGTTTTATGCAACACAGAAATTAGAATTCTTAGGGTTTATTTTGAATTCAAAAGAAATGTCGGTAACATTGACAGAGCATAAACTAGAAAAAAATTGTATCAATTTGTTCTGAATTTTTGAAAGTACGGAATAAAACAATAAGAAATCTAAGTGTGTTGATTGGGAACTTAGTAGCAAGTTTTCCTGCAGTATCACATGGTCAATTAATTTACAGGCAGTTAGAGAATGAGAAAATAAACATGTTGAAAGCATCAAAGGGGAATTTTGATGCTCAAGTTACACTTTCTGAGTTAGCACTTCGCGATATCAACTGGTGGTTATGTAATATCCCTAAGGCTAAGGCACCAATAACCAGAGGTCAACCCGACATTGTAATTGAAACAGATGCCAGTCATTCGGGTTGGGGCTATAATTGCAAGACTCTGAAAATATCAGCAGGAGGTCCTTGGTTAGAAGGAGAAAATAAATTTCATATTAATGTGCTTGAGCTGAAAGCTGCTTATTTTGCCCTTTTATCTCTTTGCCAGGACAAGCATTATTCTCATGTGAAAATTTTGATTGACAACACCACAGCTGTGGCTTACATAAGAGAGCAGGGGGGGGGGGGGCAGCAAATCTTTGCAATGTAATGAATTGGCCAGAAAAATATGGTTAAGGGCTTATGATAAAAATATTTGGTTATCAGCTTCGCATATTCCAGGATAAGCTAATTGTGATGCAGATTATGAAAGTAGACATTTTCGAACCGAGCATGAATGGATGTTAGATATAGAAGTTTTACAATTTGCTATCAAAAAATTGGGGTTTGAACCAGAATGCGATTTATTCGCTACTAGAGTCAATAAACAGTTTGAAAATATGTATCTTGGAAGCCAGAACCCGAATCATTTGCCATTGATGCATTTTCTATTTCATGGACAGATATAAAATGTTACTGTTTTCCTCCTTTTAGTGTCCTACCTGCAGTATTACAAAAGATGTCAGTAGAAAGAGTAACAGGAATAGTTGTGTTACCAAATTGGCCAACTCAGCATTATTATTCAACAGTTATGAAAATGCTCATTGCACATCCGTTGTATGTTCACAAAAGAAAAAAACATTGTTGCAGATACCAAATTCCAAACAAATTCACAAGATATGGGACAAGATAGATCTACTAATTTGCCTTTTATCAGGAGATCAGTTGAAAACAGACAATTTCCGGAAAATGTTACCAAAATACTTTTATCATCATAGAGATCATCTACATCTAAACAATACGAAAGTTATTTATGGAGATGGCAGGTTTTCTGTGGTGAACGGAAGATTAATCCGTTTTGTGCAAATTTGACAGACATTTTAGTTTTTCTTACGGAACTTTCGGAAAAAGGTGTGGGCTATTCTGGCATTAACACGGCTAAAAGTGCTCTTTCAAATACAGTTACTTTGGCTGATAATGAAAATGTGTTAATTGGTGAACATCCTGTTGTTAAAAGATTTTTAAAAGGCATATTCAATCAAAAACCTTCTTTACCACGATACACTGAAGTT